TTCAGTATCTCACAGCTGTCCTCCGTCACTCCCTCCCTCGCTCCTGGATGGAGGAGGAACTCACCTGTAGCCGACACCAGCCGGTGGCACCGGGTCTGTTTTCTGGAGCTGAAGCTCAGCCGGGTATAAATGGTGCTGCTCGGTGAACATATCTCAACACGTTCCTCTCTCCAGCTCGTTCCTGCTTCCTCCTTCATCACCCCGTCCTTCCCGCTGACTTCCTCTCTCACGCTCAGCCTGCTCCTCTCACACCGGGCCAGAACCAAACCAGCACACACTTCTGGATACACGAATGTTAAAATAACTGATGAGCTCCGTCATTAATATCAGTCCTCTCAGCTACCGTGCTCACACACATATTATAATATATAATATATAATATTCAACAGACTTCATCAGCAACTCGCATCCTGAGAACTTTTTAGATCCAGGTTTAGTGTTCCGTGTCTCGCTGAACTATGTGGTCACGGGTCTCCTGGTTTTAACTGATCTTGGCTACGAATCACAGACCAATTGGACCATCTGATCAGGAGAACGACACGAGGTGTTGTCATCATCAGGACGAGCATCAGGGTGTGTGGCTGCTCAGTGCACATTATGGACACTGAAGGGAGTTAGCTGCAGGTGTTCACGTGGTTCTGTTTGGGTGGTTTGGTTTGCATTTGGCTACGGCCCATGGTTTTTACTTAACCAGAACATGGACGGTCTGGGTTCATAGTGAAACCAGCCATCGGCTGTTCATGGGGCTGTTTACTGGTTTGTTGTTGTGATAATTGTAATTTGTGTGTTTTGGGACTTTCTGAATCACTCACTTAAAGGAAAATATATCCAGTACTTGTGGTGCATGTGTTCTGGTCCATTCCAACCATCACCCACTGGTCTGGTGACGACGTTTCTGAAGCCTCACCTTTAACATTTGGCTGTTTTCTTTAAGACTAGATGTGATAAACGAGGGTGGATCTGACTGAGAGCTCGTGGACACTAAACACACCAACAGGGTGGAGACGTGTTCGCTGCTCTCCTGGTTCCTCTACATGGGACCATGACCTTCAAACAGAACATCATGCTGTGTGGAAGAAGACCTGAAACTATCGCAAATAAGACCATACAGTCCTTAGAAAGATGTTTACTGAGGTAACAGATCAAGTGAGAAGTAGAACCAGTAGAACTAATCAGACTTATTGTTGGAACCAGTCGGCTCCTCGCTGGCCCTTACAGACAATGTGGTTTTATGGTTCTTGTGCATTGACTTCACTTTTTAAGAAGCTACGTCCATCTTTTATAGACAGTGAATGGGAAAAAGTGATGTGACTTTGACAAAGGCCAGATCATTAATGGTCAGATCATTAATGGCCAGATCATTAATGGTCACACAGCTGGATCTGTGGATCCCAGAAATAGCAGAAGGTTGGTGGTGATGGGTGTTCAGGGTTTACAAACCATGACCCGATGACAGGGTTTTGCAGGATCTGCTCAAATAAGCTTGATTAATGGGAGCCCCAATTTATCATTTCCAGAACTTGGACCAGGACCTAATGTTTGCTTGCCAGATACCACAGGGCACCTTCACAGGCGTCAGCGGGCCTCGGAGCTGTTTTGGTGGCACACAAACAACCAGCAGCGTATTTGGCTGGACTACACCTAATGTTCTGGCCCGTCAGTGTGAAGGACTGATGTGACGTGGTCAGAAATGACTTTGGGAGGCTTCGGGGCTGCATGTCCAGCTCAGTGTCTCAGAACAGCCTCGACTGTGGTGTCAGCTTCACTCTGCAGCTGATGGATGTGGCTGTGTAACATGGTCAGTGGTCTGCTCTCTTACATCTCCTTCCTGCCTTCATGGTCCTCACAGAGCTTTACGGTGTTCCTCATTCACCCGTTCACACACCGACGGTGGCAGAGCTGCCTGCTAGGTGCTGCCTGCCATCAGGAACAGCTTCAGGGTCAGAGTCTTGCCCAAGGACACGTGGACATGTGACCCGCCCTGGGCCACATGTTGGGTTATACCGATGTGTGAACATGGACTGACTGATGGTTGGTTCTGTTCAGCTAACTGCAGAGCGACATGTCATCCACAGGAAACCACACATGAAAACAAACAACTGGATTCTTTTAATGGTCGCTTCAGTCATACAAGATGCAGTAAACAAAGAAAATAAAACGCTGACGTCAGACCTTTGTTTTGCTGTGAAGACGTCTGTTTCTCCTCCGGCTGCAGCTTTGGTTGTTGTGAAGCTGCAGAAGGAGTCAGTAATAATGAAATAGTCAATAAGAGTCGACTACAAGAGACTCTATGGTCTATGTTTGTTTTTTTGGCCTTGACGGAAAGAAAACTCATCTCCGAGGTTTCATTGTGTCGCCTGTGTGCTAACAACGGCTAAACAAGCTGCACGTAATCACATGAACAAACACTGAAATGAAACTCCTTCCTTTCCCCTTGGGGATCAGAGCGCCGATGCTAACAGGACGTCAGACGAAGGTGATCTCGTACGTCACACTGGACACGTTGTGGTCGCTACGCGTCCTGTTCACGGGATCCGTTCCTTCTTTGTCCCTGCAGAGGGTTACTGTCCTGTACTGTATCTGTCTCCTTCATTATTGAGGAGGCTGTGAGAGGGATGACTTTCCTGCTGCGGTTCAGGTCTCCTGAGACTCAGCGGGAACCCGACCCCGGCCTGCTCCAAGCCCAGGCGGAGGGTCACTGCACCAACGCACAAAGCAGTATTCAAGGCCACTCTAGTAAAATACTGAAGAGAACAATGTGCTGACAAAAGGACATCCTCACAATGAGAACAATGACAAGGGCAGAGCTGTGTATTCTGATATCTCGGACTTATTTTTAGGTTTGGGGAAGTGCTTCAATGCACTGGTACTGCATGTTCAGTCTTCATGGGTAAAGCATGCTTATGCAACACTCACACGGTAAGCTTTGCTTCCTGATAAGCCTCGACACACGTCCACACGACGCCGGACCTCCAGAGGCACGCAGGTTTACTGCACATCTCATCTCTCCACATGCTTGTGAAGTACAGGCATGTTAGATAACACACGAGGTGTTTCCGTCGGCGTGGTGCGATCCTTGGACCAGACTCTCACGCTACATGCACACAGCACTGACCTGCACCGTTTCAGCAAAGAAGAGGTTCTGCACGACCACTGGAGGAGTGTCCCGGCCCGATTCTAAAATCACTGCAGCGAGCACGCGATTCAGACACAATCTCGGTCAGTAAGCTGATGTTGGTTTCGGTGATGTCTGTGATGCAGCAGCACCCGAGGGCCCGTTTCACTCATGCAATTAGGAGGCAGTTAATTGTGGATCGGCTCCAGTGGTTTGCCGGGGGGCTGCACCGCGGTGCACGGTGAGGGCGCGTGGTCCCACTGGATCACTGTCTGCGCTCCCTCATGACTCACTGTGTCGGAGCATCCATACTGTAATCAGGAGGCTGCGGGACGGGATGTCAGCTGGCTCTCACATTCAGCCTGGAACACGATTACAGACATCACCGACCAAAACAGATCTGTTTAATGAGGCTCTGTGTAGAAATAGGTCCAACTCTAACTAGAAGAACACACAAACTGAATGTGGTTTCATCTCATCACGATTTTTAATTGAAGTTTTGAAACAGCTTGCAGTAAGACAAAGAATGTGACTGAATGGAGAGTCTACGGTGGAGGTTTGGAGAAGTCAGAGTGGAACTAATGATGTTGGCCGATGCAGCGAGCATTTAACCGGATTAAGTCCTCGGAAATAGGAAGTAGATGTGCGCTAAACCACACCGTGCGTGCTGCTGAAGAGCTCGGCTTTTTTGTTTTGTTTATTTGTGTGTTTGTTTATTTTATTTGCAGCACAAACGTATCCCACTTAGCCTACTTACAGGATGGAGCCGCGGAGATCTGGAACGGTTCAGCGCCGCTTCTTCACTCGCTGTTCACATTAAAGGAAGTGTTTTGTTAGTCACTGCAGCAATTCAGCAATCTCATCATGGCTTCACAAAACACCCCCACACACACACACACACACACACACACGGTCCCACTCACACACACAGCCACAGCGCAGTCATGTAACACACACACACACACACACATCTGCACACACACACACACACACACCTGTCTCCCTCTCTGCTGCTTTTCATTTCGACTCTTCTATACAGCCAGTCTTATAAAAATATATTAAATATCCTCCCACACGCTGGCTTTGACTCGTTACATCATCTCTGGTGCCACACTGCTTTTATCTTCTCACACTGCCAGATTATCTCGTGAAGGAAATTGACCGAAAGCAGCACACTTCGCTTTGCATGTTTTAATCGTTCCTCAGATCTCAGACGTCTGAAGGAGCAGAGCTGTTCAGGTCTGGAGGTTGTTCAGGTTGAGTCCCTGAAACAATCTGAACTGGATCAGTCACTTCAGCGCTCGTCACAAATCTGTTCTGATGCTGCATTCTAACCAGCAACCACAGGCGTCTTAGGAAACGTTAAAAGCCTGCACAGATCTGTCAGCGGGGGTCTGTCTGGCCTGTGATAGGCTCAGAGACGCCAGCTTTAGGAGCAAGTTGCTGCGAGTCGTCGAGCTTCCACGTCGCTGAGGGGGATTTCAGTCAGATGGCGGCTGAGGGATCCTGGTGTGTTGAGGAATTGCAGTGGATGTCATGGTGGGCCCGCTTAAGACCCACTTCCTGTCTCAGATTTTCCCCTGACATTTTGCTGCACACACATCAGGGCTCACGTGTTGCTGTCCTTCCTTACCATCCACGCTACATGTGTCTGTGCTGCAGTGGAGGCAGACCAGCTCCATACGAAGCCTGTTCTCCTGAGATTCACGGCTGTAAGCTAAGAAGGGTTCGGTTAGCTGATGTAGCAGATTAACAGGAGTATTTATTTAACACACTGTCACCGTTAAAAATGAAGTGATCCTCTGCTGGAGCGCTGCAGAACATCACAGATCACTGCCACCTCAGCGCCGCAGCCATGCTCATGTATTTCTCTCTGTTTTGACAGAAACCTCGGGAAGTCGGGCCTGCGGGTGTCCTGCCTCGGATTAGGTAAGACCACGAGACAAACGGAAACACGTTCACTGCACCCAGAAGACTGTGTGAGAGGAACCATGACCCCAAAGGGCCAGTGATAGGTCCAGAGGCAGGTTCCAGCAGGTCGCCCAAAGTATAAAATGGCTCAAATTCTGTTATCCAAACTCAGGGCCTGTTTTTAGCCAGATCCTGTTACTTGTCCCCTATGCTGGTATGTATGCACATGTGCGTTTGTGTATGTTCTGACCCCGCCTCCCTGTCGTCCTCTGTAGGAACATGGGTGACGTTCGGCGGACAGATAACGGATGAGGTGAGAGCAGATGGATTTTGTTGTGTCCCATCAGTCAAAGCTTGGGAATGGAAACCCTCCATATGATCTGGCATATCCCAGGTTGCTCTATTTTTACCTATAGTGGAAACACACGGCGCTAAAGAGTCACCAGCCAGAGAATAAAGGTCACAGGAAGCCGCTGCTGCAGCCCTTTAGTCTTGTGAAAGCAGTTTAATAATTGAAAACGCCTCACATCAGTGGTCTCACCCCTTCCTGTCCTCTCACCAGATGGCAGAGCAGCTGATGACTCTGGCCTACGAAAACGGCATCAATCTGTTTGACACAGCGGAGGTCTACGCTGCTGGGAAGTGAGTATACGTTCCTGCGCCGCAAGTCGCTCATCACTGAACAGTAACGCCAAACATTCCCGAGCTGCCGCCGTGTGATTGACTGTGGAGCCACCAGGTAGAGATTATATATTAGCTGGCTGCTGCTGTCAGGTGGGAGTTGATCCAGAGCGGTGCACAGTCAGATGATCCGGCATTAGAGAGGACGTGAAGGCTTCATGACTGCAGCCAGAGTGGTGCTCTGAAGTCACACCGCTCTGGGTTCAGACCTCAGTAGATGCAGAAACAGCAGGTGTTTCACCGGATGTAATCACATCCTTCACACAGGTTCTGTTAAATATGCAGAAGCTTTGACAACTTCTGCCCCCGGTCCAGTACACTAGGGGTAGATGGAATTTCTTTTGGGCAACTCAAAGCCGTCAAAATGACTTCTGAAAACTTAGCAGCTGCAAAATGAGTGTGTAGAGTCTGAGTTAGGGCTTAAATATCCCTGTGAGCTTCCATTCACTGCTTCTTATGCACATTTAAGCATCAATAATGTGAGGAGGAATGTTGTGAATCCAAAACAAGGCAAATAATTGGGTTTTGATGAGAGCAATGTGTGCCGCAGCACAAAGGGAACAGATTTAGCAGAGTAATCATGATGTACATGAAGCATGTGACTGAGACGTCCCCTGAAGCTTCTGCTTCACTGGAGAGATTAAACACTCTGGCAGACAGCAGCCCTGGATCTGTGGAGAGCCGTGATGAGACTTCCTCAAATTAATACACCAAACAAACATGAACGCTGCGTTTCCACCACATTCTCACATCGATGTTGTTCATTTGAGGTTTGAATGACATTCAATTATGTCTCGTTCCACCGTCCTCTGATTCAGCAGCAGCCAGCCGGAGGAACCAACTCCTGATTTTACACATTTTCTGGAAATTAAGGGACAAGAGGAACTATTATTAGACACAAGAGTTCAGTCTTTGTCCTCGATGCTGCATCGTGGCCACAGTAATGTTTGTGAGGGTTCAGATCCTGGTGGTGTTTTAACCCCAGAAACAGCCCCATGCTGCCTTATCGCCGCATGTAGTGATGGTCTACATTCCAGCCTAGATTAATCTGGCTTTGTAGTAACAATCTAAGGGATTATCCTTGCAAACAGTATCTCTGATTAACAGCACCAAGTCCTCTTCTTTTAATCCTCTGAGGAGTTTTCCAGTTGTGCCTTCATGTTTGGGAGATGCATCAGAGCTGAAATCAAAAGAAGACAAAAGAGAAGCAGTCGGTCTCTGTGGCTGCCCTCATTTCTCATCTAATGCCGCCGCAGCTGGATGCACGTCATCGCCGCCTGCTTTATTGTTCTGGGAGTTTCAGCAAAGTGTCGGCCTCGCTGTTTCACGCCAGGGTCAGACCAACAAGCACAGGGTTTATCTCTGACACACAACCTGCTCTGTCTTCCATCAACGTGCTGCCATAAAGCAAAGCGTGTTCAGACTCTGGCACGTGTTGGTGACAGCGTGTCGCACAGCTCGCTATGTGTTGCACAGGTGTTAATCCTGACAGCAGCACCAAGGAGCTTATATTACACACAACGCAGGAGGAGGACTAATCACACACTTTGCACATCGGAATAGAAACCAGCCTCCATGTGAAGTCCTCCAGCTGCTGTGATGGTGGTTCTGTGGACACGTGCGTGTTATTTCTACTGTTTGTCGTGGCTCAGCCTTCCTCATTGGACCCACCAAAGCATTTAACACAATATTTAAACACTGGTTGTGATGCCTGACTAGCGTGTCCGTCCCAGTATGCCAGCTACTGTTCTCCAGAAATATAAATAAATATGTGTAATTGCACAAATAAACATGTTGTGCTCGTAGCTGCTCTTATCAGCAAACACATACGGCGTCGGAGCGTTTCAACGTATGCAAGCAACTGGCAAAGCAGATTGTCATTCTTCATTTCCTTTCAGGCTGAGACGTTTTGCTCCAGATGCATAGTAAACGCACGATATTATGTGAAACCAGTGACAAAACTGGTGGCATAATAACTGAGAAATCTGGAAGTAATGAAATATTATAAATCCATGAATAATGCAGCATTATGTCAGGGCTTGTGCCCGAAGTCATAGCGGCAACTCAGCAGCGGCATGAAGACCTAATTAATGGCTCGATGAAGAAGTCAACCTGCTCCAGGCGGCTCTACCTTATGTTTGGGCGCTCGGATTACTCACGTTTCAGGAGGGCAGCGCTCAGAGCTGTGTGGGTGTTTGCCAGCGACACTCACAGACACACTGTTAGTGCACATACATGCACGTTATTGCTCTCACGGGAGCTTCACTGCTCGTTGTTCAGAGAAGATCCAGCTGGCAGGGCGTGAACCCGGCAGCACAGCAGCTCCTCCTGGATCCAGCAGCAGCATGGAGGTGGCAGGAGCCCAGGAGTCGGGAGGAGGCTGGTTCTGGTGGCCGGGTTAGAAATAGTTTCTTCATTTATCTGTTAGAAGTGAAGACAAACAACATTTCAGATGAATGATGACGTCTCTCATGTTGCTGCAGGTCATAGCTGCTCGCTAACAGTCTGAATATTAATGTAGAAGCAAAGTTTAACAGTAACAGGATTAAGTAGTAAAACTGAAATCAATCTGATCGACAAGATCATCTGTGATCTCAGTTTACAGCAGGACCCAGCTGAACCTGTACGGAGCCGGATCCTGCAGACAGGATCGCTGTGAGCTTCATCCTGTCAGGGAAAGAAAAGTGAAAACAGGCTGAGACCAGACTGTTAAAAGTTTAAAGAAGCACTTTCCCAAACAAAAGTTGAGCTGCACTTCACAGTAAAAGCAGGAAGCATTAAATATCAAACAGGAGGAAAATGGAGACGGATGAGAAGCGAGTTCTGCAGTGCAGTGAACTACATGACTGAGTATCCGGCTCGCCGACCAGCACCGGCTGTTTGAACAATCTGTCCATATGAAGCTGATAATGGTTCATCAGTGTGTGTTTTACTCAAACGTCTAACTTCAACACAGACGTCTGTGTTTGTTTAGTTGATGTTCTGAACAAGAGACGCACTGAGTGGAACATTTCAGTCCACAGATCAGTCTGGGCAGGAACACTGGATCCACTGTGATCTGCTAACCATCAGCCACAGCGCTGAACCTACCGGAGCGTTGTTCCTCCTCTGGCGTCCCCGTCCTGCCTCAAACACCTCTGAACTGTTGGCCGTGTCTGCAGTGATGTTGATGGGATGTTAGATCCACATGCAGGCCAGGACCTGAGCTGGAGGACCAGAGTGTGTTAGTTAATGCTGTGCCAGAGTCTGACTGAAGGAAACAGCAGCAGGCTGAGTGATGGAGGAGGAGACTCGTGGTCCAGCAGGTTTCAGCACTGTTTTAATACTCACAACCAAACACAAGTTATCTTAAAACCCCATCAGTTAGAGCAGCTGACCCGTTTTACTTGTGCGTCCAAAATGAATCCAGATCTCAGAAGTTGCTGCGTGTTTATTTTTTCTGTCCATCGTTTTTTAATGTCAAAGTGTCTGAATGTGTTTTAGTGGATCTGTGTGACAGGAGGCGACCGTGTCTGTCAGAGTGCTGACAGGTCCGTGTCCGGCCCTAATCAGCCCCATGTTGGACCTAATGTGGCTCATTAGCACCCTGTGGCTGTTAATGAGCCACATAGCGGCGCCTCCTCAGCACAGCTGGGCCCAGACCCAGCGCCTCTGACCGGGCTGCTCATTCACACCACCAGCCCGCGACAGGTGCTCCTCACTGGGCTTCCTTATGGATCAGACAGACCGGTAGCGCTCTGTTTAATCTAGAAACCGGCCCTCACACCGTCACATGTACACAGAGTTATCGCTTTAAGGCCATCCTGATTTAATCCCGTCTTCTCTCCGTCTGCTCTGCAGGGCCGAGGTGGTGCTGGGAAACATCATAAAGAAGAAGGGATGGAGGTATGAAGCACACTTTAATTGAGTTCGGTGTGTTTTAATTTCCGTCCCGGCCCGCCTGCCTAATCTTCTGCCATCTCCTTCTTGCTCATATTGGGAGGCTGTGTTGTGAAGTGGAGCAGCGAGGTAGGGATGAAAGATTAATGTGGGCAGCTGTGCCACGTCCCGGGTCCCTCCTCAGAGACGCTCAATAATAGATGGACTTGTGGGGCCTTGTCTGCTGCTTGGTCGGCCGTGGATCGGCATTTGTGTAGCTCAAGTTATATCTGATCAGGTTCTACGCTAACGACACTCATTCACTGGAGCTCTGGCTCAGGCAGGTGGTGGGAGGCTGGAAGGATCCGGTCCAAACGCATGAGTGCCCCGAGGACGTGTCCAGCTCTTAATCACAACCTGCATACAGATACTGTCATATATGTAAAGTTTGGACTGCAGATGTGGACATCTCTGCTGCATCTGGCTGTTCTCTCCTTTACCTGGGCAGGTGCTGTAACAGATGTGCTTTCATTTCTCATTTTTAGACGCTCCAGTCTGGTGATAACAACAAAGATCTTCTGGGGTGGAAAGTAAGTCTCATGTGGTTGCCTCTTGACTCAGATGAAAAACTCTCCTCCTGTGTAATTGTTCCTGACCTGTTTGATGCTAACGCTCCTGATAGCAGGTTCATATGTCACCTGAGCCGACCTGTTGTCAGCTGGTTTAAATACAGCTGGAAACTTCTCTCATGTGTCACAGAGGATAAAACCAGATCGTGTTGCCGTTAAGGCGGGTTGGTGATTGTTCATAACACAGCATCTGCTCGTTTTCTTGTTTCACAGAGCGGAGACTGAAAGAGGTTTATCCCGAAAACACATTATAGAAGGTAAGTCGCAGCGTGTTATTGGATCAAATGTTCACGCTGCACAAACAAATACGTCCTCATTAGTTGCTTTGGGTCAAAGCTTTAACATCTGACATGCTGTTGAAGTGAATAAACTTCTGGGTACATTAACCCAGTTAGAATAAAGTTTGAAGTCCCTCCACTCACTGTGCATCATGTACACTTTAATATTGTACGAGTCGCTGTGCCTGGCTGACTGTGGCGCTTGTTTCCAGGTTTAAAAGCCTCTTTAGAAAGACTGCAGCTGGACTACGTGGACGTGGTTTTTGCCAACAGACCGGACCCTAATACACCGATGGAAGGTAACGATTCTGCCGTCTCTACTGCTCTCGATTCATCACCTTTTTATCACCTTTTCCTCACGTTCTGTCGCTCTGCGCTGAGCAGAAAGCCTCCTCTCTGTCTCTATGGCTACAGCAGCATTAAGACTCGGATGTACAACCCTCTTGTAACTGAAACGTCTATTTTTAAACGCTGCGTGTTGTCCTGTTGCCTCCACCTCCACAGTCAGAGTGAGGATGATACTGATGCTGGAGATCTTTAAATGGCAGCGTGTTGCCTGTGTGTGGGCTCAGCCGGTCACACGGCGTCCATCTGCTCTCCTGTCAGAGTTCCTCTCCGGGTTAGAGTTCGGTCAGAGGTCGTCTCTCTCCCTCCAGTCGATGCTTCGCTGCCTCCGACTCTTTCACAATACTTCAGCGTCTTGTTAGCAGAAGGAGCTGGTGTTGTCGGATGTAAAAGTCAAGGCGCTTCTTCTGCCCATCTGCCCTTTAGAGTCTGCACACGGTCACGTGGACGATACGTCTTCAAATCTACAGCGGCTCGGCCATCTGCTAGATTTTATTTTGGCAGTAGCTGAAGGGGTAAACAGGGTGAAGAGGAGGTGAACTGCTGCTCTTTGGGTTTACAGAGAAACCCTCTCAGCGCCCTGATAGGAGGCCGACTGGTCAGACAGAGCGGCTGGGTGGGGGAGGAGCTGGATGGAGGCTTATTACAGGCTGCTGCACCCGGTTTTATTACAGCGCCAGGCTCCTGTGTGGGACACCCCGATCCTTATCAGACATGTTGGTCCGCCATCCAGCAAAATGAATTGTCACTCTGACCAATGAACAGGCGGAAATTACAGCAGGGCGGCGTGAGGCTTCATTGGACCGGCGAGGTCAGATATGGCTGTAAAATGAAATTCTTCCTTGATGGCTTTAAATAAAATACGGTGATGTGTCGGCACAATAACACGAGATAAATCTCTGTGACTCTCAGTCAGCACAATGAAGGGAGGAACAGATCTCCTCTGACATGTTTATTAACCCTCTGTGCTCCACGACATAAGCTGTAAGTCCAGCGTGTCCATCCTCAGCAGATGCTTTGTGAGCCATTAAAGACGTGAGCTGCTGCACATGGCTGCCGGGCGTCTGTTTGGGTTTCTATTTTTTTACATCAAGAAAAGACGAATTCTTGTAAATTCTGCCGTTAATGTCATTCAAGTGTGCCTCATAGGGTAGACGTCAGCCTCATCAGCCGAATCACACTCTGATTAGCATAATCAGCATCTCCTCTCTGTCCTGGAGGCCGCGGGCCATTTGGATTGCAAATGATAACAAGAAGCAGCAGATAGGACTGAGTGGACTCCCGGGTCGGGTTGTGCTGCAGAACGCTCGGTCAGAGTACTGAAGGTGTTTTAACATTTCTGTTTACGTGTATTTGCAGAAACGGTTCGAGCCATGACCCATGTGATCAACCAGGGCATGGCCATGTACTGGGGAACCTCCCGCTGGAGCCCGATGGAGATCATGGTGAGGCTCAGAGTGTTGGTGTGTAGATGATGGTCCACAGCAAGGTCAGGGACACACACACGAGTTCTGTAAATATGATCACAAAGCTCAGAGTTACTTCTGTTTCTCACCTTCAGTTGGGTTTATGTCCACAGGACTGTATTATAGTATGTGAGCCTGACTGCTGGGTTCTGGGTCTTTCTCTAGGAAGCGTACTCGGTGGCGCGACAGTTCAACCAGATCCCTCCCATCTGTGAGCAGGCCGAGTACCACATGTTCCAGAGGGAGAAGGTGGAGGTGCAGCTGCCTGAGCTCTTCCATAAGATAGGTGGGCAGTGATGCACTCGTGGCTCCAGACAGAATGAATCCAGGCACAATTTACACACTGAAGTTTCTCACAACCGACCAGGCAGGAGCTCTGACACATGAAGCTACGAGCCTGAAGCTGGTTTAGATGAACAGACGGACAGCATCCCTCTGACATGGTTACTCACTGTGGGCTCATTTTCTACTATAGTCCTTCATCTTAAAGACATTCTGAGCAGTAGAAACAGCTCTAATGCCATAAATCAGGGGTGTCAATCTCAAAAACAAAGTGGGCCAAAATTTAAAACCTAAACAAAGTCACAGGCCAACATTGAACAAATGAACCTTTTAATATGGACCGAAACAAATTTTGCTTTAACATTGAACATGGAACAAGCAACGCTTATTACCATACATTATATATAAGTTAATAGTGGAGACATGCAAAATCAAATTATAAATAACAAAACACATCAATGGCACAGTTGTAGTGTGAAGTCGCTATGCCTACTGTCACAGAGGAGAGGGACTTTCTGGGTCCTGTCCTGATTGACGTGCCAAAACAACAACAGGGCATTATGGGATTTGTAGTATTAGCGGTGAATGCGCTGTACAGTATAATACCGGGGGCAGCTCTAGTAGTCATTTGGTGTTGTCTCGCGGGCCAAATATAATTACAAAGAGGGCCAAACTTGGCCCGCGGGCCAGAGTTTGACACCCCTGCCATAAATCATCAAAAAGTTGGATTTCTTACGTTATTTATTTTTACTAAAATGTTAAAAACCTCAAATCAGCATGAACAGTGTTTTTACAGCGTCCACCCATATTTGTAATAAAATGCTGACCGTTCATGATGAAGTTATTTAATGAAACATCTTGTTTCCTGACCTGCTGCTACGTCACAGTCGAGCCGTGTGGACGACGCTCTCTTCTCTACATGATGTAGTTTTTAAAGACTTGGTGGGTTCTGGTTTTGGCATTAAGTATCTGAAACTTTATCCAAAATGAGCTCCATGAGTGTGAACCTGGTCGGGTCTGGTTTGTGATGTCCACTCACCGTTTCTCTCTCTGTCTCTACATCTGTTAAAGAGCTGCTGTGGCTCAGTGATGATTGTAATGACGTTTCTGTTCCCAGGTGTGGGGGCCATGACGTGGTCTCCACTGGCCTGCGGGATCATCTCAGGGAAATACGACGGCAGGGTCCCTCCCTACTCTCGAGCATCTCTGAAGGTAGCTCGCTCGCTGTTTGCCGCCTCTGTCCCACTCTGATCATCCGCTGCTTCCACCGTGTGTGTTTCCCTTCTGGTTGCTGGTTGTTTGTTTATCCTGTGTTTGTGTCTTTCAGGTTCTGTAGCTCTGTGCACACCCACCACATACCGTATACCTGCGCTCTCAGTGCCATGCTGATGCCATGCACTGCCACCTCTCCACAAGCAGTGCCGTCCACACTGTTTGTCAGCTGGTGTCGGCTTAATGCATTTTAGTGCACGCACATGAGCACACACAGGCAGGAGACCACACTCGTGCATACAGGACGGCAGCAGCACAGCATGTGTGCGAACCAACAAACGGCTTTTAATCGATGCTATGGATACCAGAACCAAACGGCTAAATTGGAAGACGGTATTTCAGGCAACTCATGAGTGATTTAGAGTATTGTTCTCCTCTGAGCATAAATACACACAACGCCATTTCAGCTGAATGTTAACGAGGAGCAGAGGCAGTTTTCAGGATTTAATTCAGTAAACATCCAGAAAGCCTGACGAGTGTTTAGCTTTGAAGTCACAGATTAGCTCAGACACATCGTATTGTGCTGCTGCAGCAGGTTTCTCACATCCAGACACCAAAGCGAACACAAAGCTCACGCCTGAGTTTCTGCAGTGTTGTGTCCCTCTGTGCTGGAGTGGCATGTTGTGTTTCTGTGGACTGTGTGTTCGTGACCTAGACCTCCACTGGTTCATGAAGCTAGCTCCATCTTGGTGTTGTGCACTTCCTCCGGTGACTCCTGTGGAATGTGCTGCTTCCTGTTGGTCCAGTGCTGCCTGTGGATGTTCGTGGTGTTTGGGCTCTTTAATGCAGCGGTCATTCCTCCTTGTGTTACTAATAGCATTACTGTGTAGTTGTGATAGTTAGACGTCAAACCTCCTTCTTGTCTCAGCGGGGCACAGATTCAACCAGGTACAGTCATGGTGTGTTTACATAGAGACCTGCCTCATACCTGTAACTGTACATGTGCTGTAATGAACTGACTGTGCGGTGTTTCCGTGGTGTTTCCCGGCTGAGCGTAGGCAGCAGGAGACAGAGTCACGTGTTTAAAAACAGGCCCTGGTGACACGGAGCTGCGGCGGCGCAGCGGTGTGAGCAGGGCTGTGTTTTTGAGCAGGTGTGCTGTGTTTTCAGGGCTACCAGTGGTTGAAGGACAAGATCTTGAGCGAGGAGGGCCGGCGTCAGCAGGCGAAGTTGAAAGAGCTGCAGGCAATCGCGGAGCGGCTGGGCTGCACTCTGCCCCAACTCGCCATCGGTACGCAGATACACTCTGCCGCTCTCTCTCTTTCTGTCTGTCTGTCCGTCCCTCTGCCTCGGACGGGCCGAGGTCAGCGGCGCTCTGGGTCCACTGTGGG